ACTATCTGCAAGGAGTTTGCATGAACTCCGGTTTCCTCCCACACTCCAAACACATGCTGGTAGGTTAATTGGCTCCTCTCTAAGTTGGCCCTCTATGTATGCATGTGAGATAGGGACCTTAGATTGTAAGCTCCTTGAGGGTAGGGACTGATGTGAATGTGCAACTGTGTAAAGTGCTGCGTAAATTGTCGGCGCTATATAATACCTGTATTAAATAAATAATTTAGCACAGAATGCAAGAGTCTCCACAATGTTAATCAAGGCCTGAAAGGTTATACAGTCTCTCAGTTTGCCTGGAGATTTCCCTATCATTGTTGAACATACAGTGCAAAGGGTGAAGATGATGGACAAAAACCTTTAGCAACCGGGCTCAGTTGATGTCATTAGAGCGTGTTATTGCTGCTTACTGTAGCTTACTGCTCTTTGCACCTTTGCACTTTGAACTACCTTAATAAATATACCTGACAGTGTGAAAAATAATCGTGCATTTGCTGATAGTTGCACAGTAAGGCTTCTACAGCAGTTTTCTTTATTCTCCAAGTTAAAGTGAATCTAAACTCAGGAGTTAAATCTTAAAAATGCATCTTAAAATGTTACTTATTTGTGCATCATTCAGCTGTAGATCCTCAAATCATTTCTGAATTAATGCTGGCACTGTCCTTTCTGGAGGGTGGCTACTTTTGTTCCCCATGGTCCCTGGATGTGTATAGTAACCACCGCTCCAAGCTCGCTCCCATGATGGACTATACTCTAACATTTAATTGACTAATTTGTATTGATGTTGTAGTCCAGTGCTACCCAACCTTTTTATCGCCGCGGACCGGTCAACGTTTAATAATTTTACCGTGGCCCGCTGAGATACATTTGTGTTGATAGTTTAAGGTACTTGAATGCATTTACCTTCTGAGTTTAGTGTCCCTTCAGCCGTTTCCCTGCCACAGACTTATGGCATACGGTGGAACACAACTCTTTCCGGCTGGCCACATCAGTATGCCATACGTTGGTTGCTTTCTCCTTTCTGCTATAAACTCATGGCCACTTTAGCGACCATGAACTTGTATCATGGTTCATGGTTCTCTATACAGTCCCCTTTTAAATAATAGCTCTCATCAGTGGCTCACAAGCCGCTGATGAGACTCCCCTCCTGGAGCCGCTCCATGCTTCTCCTTGGATCCCCGCTGCTTTCCCCCTGCTTGTATGGACTGAGGCAGTGGGGATCCAAGCAGAAATGGACGGCTGCAGGTTTACATCACTTCCTGTTTATTCATGAGTTTCTCAATGGGAAGATGCAATCATTACAGAGGCTTCTCCCTTTTCAGAAACTAGTGATAGTAAATATTTTGCAATCACCAGTTTGTGAATGAATGGGAAGCCTCTGTACTGAGAACTCTCATTTAGAGCAGAGGCTGCAGAAAAAGAGATTGTGTCCTCAATTTATTTTTCTATTTCAAAAAGGAAATCTCACGGGTTTGTTTAGACCCCTAATATTTCCCCGAAACCCCCCCAACAGTAAAATAAATAATAAAAAAATAAATAAAACACAACCCCCCACACCAATAACATACATGTGCAACAGTGTGCACTATCGCAGTGCTTAATTTTTTTTTCTTTTAAAATAACATTAATTTAACTGTGTGGCAGCGCATGGCAAAGCGTTGTGACGTGTTGCCGTGTGTTGTGATATTCTGTGTTGCAATTAAATGTAAGCCTGTATCATTTTATCACAATACAAACACTAAACGATTTTTAACATAAGTCGCTTATTTACAGTTTTGTATTACTTCATTTTTTTTTACCATTTCGCAAAAAACTTTTTACCGTTTCGGCACAATTTTAAATTTGTTATTTATTGACTCAATACAGTTTTATCTTTTAGATTTAGTCGGAAAATAATTTTTTTGTGCACTGATACTGATTTTAGTGTGCTATCAATGGAATTGTGTATTTTTATCAAACGCTAAGGTTAAAAGCGTTCCGGAGGGCTTGGCAGCGAAAGGGTTAAAGAATGGCAATGCATGTCAGACATAATCAGTGAAGAAGGAGTCAGTCTAAATTATTCATGTCTCTTGGAGCAAAGAATTGGCCATTCCCCTTCCAGTATACAGAAAGAAAACAAGCTGCCACATTCTTCCTCGGTGAATCATCACTGAGCTCTATTTGATGTGCTTCAAGTGATTCTTTACTCTATATGTATGCTGTACAATGATACAGCACCTTAAACATATGCATTAAAGACAATAAATATATATTATTTATATTCAGGATTTATATAATACAGTGCTTTACCAAATAAAGGGTGACACTATAGCTGCAATATAATTAAATACTGGAGGAATAGGAGGGCCCTGCATGTAAGAGCTTACATTCTAAAGAGAGGGGTAAATCCATATTATGCAATTTGCAATACAGATGTGCCTGGCGTGCAAATAAAACACGCATATCAAATGACAAATTGCACACTCGTGTTTAGTATAACATATAAATATGTATCAACACAACAGGATGGTAATGATTATATAACATCAGTGGCGTAACCAGAGTAACGGGCGCATGGGGCAGAACAAAATTTTCAACCCATGATATGTGGGGGTGTACAGGTACAATGGGAGCCTGCTGGGTCATCATGGAACTACAAGTCCTAGCATGCTCTCATTGTCCCTGTACACCCCCCAACATATTTCTCAGGGAACTACAAGTCCCAGCAGGCACCCATCGTTCATGTACGGTGATATGTTTTTCTAAAACAATTTATACTAATGGTTTTAGGACAGTGGTGGAGCACCAGGGCCCTGTCACAGCTGCAACTGCTGTGACCCTGGCAGTTCTGCCACTGGCTCCAACCTGTAGAGGGACTACAAATCTCATCAATACATTATACAGTAATGCAAAATACCACCAGCTATAGAAGACTACAAATCTCAGCAATACATTATATAGCACTGCAGAATACCATCAGCTAGAGAGGACTACAAATCCCAGAAAAACTTTATACAGCAATGCAGAATACCACCAGCTATAGAGGAGTACAAATCCCAGCAATACATTATACAAGAATGCAAAATAGTATATGAGTTTGCTACATACTCTTTGCTGCCACTCTGCACCAGGGTGCTGGCCTGATATCTCAGGTACCATGTCATGTACACCATATCATGTACAAGATGGCAGCAGGGCAGATGTACAGGATTGCAGCGGGGCAGATGTACAGGATGGAAGCAGGGCAGATGTACAGGATGGAAGCAGGGCAGATGTACAGGATGGAAGCAGGGCAGATGTGGAGGATGACAGCAGCTCAGATGTGGAGGATGGCCGCAGGACAGATGTACAGGATGGCAGCAGGACAGATGTACAGGATGGCAGCAGGACAGATGTACAGGATGGCAGCAGGACAGATGTACAGGATGGCAGCAGGACAGATGTACAGGATGGCAGCAGGGCAGATGTACAGGATAATAGCAGGGCAAATGTACAGGATGGCAGCAGGGCAGATGTACAGGATGACAGCCAGGCAGAAGTACAGGATCGCAGCGGGGCAGATGTATAGGAAATGGCGGGGCAGATGTATAGGATGACAGCAGGGCAGATGTACAGGATAGCAGCGAGGCAGATGTACAGGATGACAGCCGGGCAGATGTACAGGATGACAGCCGAGCAGATGTACAGGATGACAGCCGGGCAGATTTACAGGATGACAGCCGGGCAGATGTTAGTGTCATGGGGTGTTATAGAACATAGAATATAACATAGTTTAACTTTGATCTAGTTATGTTCTAGAATAGCAAGTAGTCTACTCAATTGTCTGACATAGTCCTCCTAGCTAGGATCAGTTCACACAGCCAGAGGAAGCACAGCCAGGAGGGTGGGGGGGGGGTTGTGAAAGAACAAAACACATTAATCACTCACGCAGTCACAGGCGCCATGGGTCTCTCTCTCTCTATCTCTCTCTCTCTCTGCAATGTTAAGCTGCTGCTCGCTGGCTCCTTACGCCTGAGGCCCATGGGTGGTTCCATTATTGCCTGTAAACCTTTTTTTTTTACCACCGGGCAGTGACAAGCGTGTACCCCCCTCCATCTCTGCACCTGGACCAGCTGCATCATCGGCCCCACCGGTTGTTGCGCCACTGAAAAACAGATATATAAAGCAAAATGTCTATTCCACCTTCTCAATTCAAGAAAAGGAATTTTTAGTAAGTAAATTGTGATGCTGTAAACTATAATAATCACAAAAACTGGTGTTAGTGGCTGCCATTACATTCTTCCCAAATAGGGAAGCACCAATACCGATACTAGTATCGGTACTCGTACTTGCCTAAACGGTCCGATACTTACCCCTGATACCGGATCTTCCGGCCAGAGGGAGAATTCCTCTGGCCAGCAGTGCCACGAGGGAACATGAAGCCGGCTTCCAGGCCAATAAGGAACCTGGGCAGACCCGCCACCTGGCTTCCTGATTGCCCGGGACGCCGACTCCATGCTGTTTGGCCGGCCTGCCGGAAATGACCCACCTTCCTAATTGGCCGGGAAGCTGGCTGCATGATCCTGGAAGTACCAGTATTTGGTATCGGCGAGTACCAAAAGATAAATATCGGTACTCGATACCGAAAAAACAGTATTGGTGCAGCCCTACTCCCAACTTAAGGGTTGGGATAACATAGAGTCTGAGTCTAGGCAGAATACACACAGCACACATTTGCGGCAGTTCAGCAAACACTTTGGTCAGAAGTATGTAACAGCATAAAATTGCAACAGTTAAAGTGATATTAAACTTCATTTGTTTTTTATTCTTTTAAATAAGAGGATCATACTTGTAAAAATCCTTTGTTGTTTTAGTAAAAAATGTTCAGTTCCTCATTCTCTAGTGCAGTGGTTCTCAACCTTTGTAACCTCAGGACCCAGATTTGTCCTCGGTCATTAAGTCAAGACCCAAGTCGCACTACAATGGAACACACAGCATCAGGGTACTGCACATTCCGGGGCAGGCGTACAAACTGTGGGTGGGAGGTGCGTTTGGGGTACCATTCAAATGAATGGTAACGCAACAAACCTCCCACACCAGAATGCACAGTGGTGCAATTGCGTGGTACAGTGCATTAATCGTACGGTACTATGCGATTTAATACACTGTACTAGCGTGAACAGGTCCTCAAAAACACAGACACGATCTAACACACTCACAGACATTCTGACACACATACACACTCCCAAAATTTTTTAATTACATTTTTTTTTAAGGTCCACCCAGTCTCCCTACCTTACTAGAACTGGAGTGGAAACTCAGCCTGGGCTCCATCCATATGTGCTTTGCTTGTACATGTCACTGGCGTGCCCTGTAGAGGTGCTGAGAGCCATAATGTGATGTCACCATGGCACCTCTATAGGACACGTGAGGGAGCTGTAAGCAATGCACGTATGGATGGAGCTCCCTCGCGGTCATAGCTCCGGGATATCCCATCTCAAGCTGACAGTCGGTGCCGGGCAACATATTTTGAATGGCTGCTTGGTGCAAGAACTGACAGTGCTGCGCTAGGGGGAGGCGGGGGAGGCAGAGGAGCCTCTCGCCTAGAAAAGTGGAAGGCATGCGGTGACCCACTGAACACAGGGTCACAACCCACCAGTTGAGAACCAAGGCTCTAGTGGGCCCCCACATAGCTCATCCCTCCCGTCCCCTGCAGGGTGCCGCCATCAGCTAAGCGGCTGCTGTGGAGGCAACCGTGCCTGCTCGCTCCCATGGAAAAAGAGAAAAGATGAGGAATTACCCCCTTATATCAGAGTCCCCCACCCTTTTATACCAGAAGCCCCTTTCCCATCAGGGGCACCCTTCCCATCGGCGTCCCCCCTTTACATCAGGAGTTCTCTTTACATCAGGAGTACCCCTTCACATCATAGTCCTTAGTCCCCCCCTTTACATCGGGGACCTACCTTAAAATCCTGCATGCAGCCTGCCCTGGATTAGCATCATGCGTTTCTATGGTGTTGGTGCCTGGCTCACCTGCAACATGGAAATGCATAACACTGTTGAAGAAGTTCAAGGCATCCCTGACAAAGCTAGGAAGCACCACATGGTGCCACGTCACCCTGACTGAGAAAGGCTGGTCTAGACCATTGTGCTCAGGCCTTTTTAACAAAAGGTGCAGCACAATATCACATTAAAAATATAAAAAGGACTAACACATCTGTTGCTGGTAATGTATACTCACTGCATTATATTAATAGTGTAGCGCTCACCCCCGAAGGAACCGCTGAATGCCCGGTTCATCTCTAGTCTGTCTAGGGTATGTTCTTCAGCTGCCCACCCATTAGCACTAACCGCCCTTCTTCTGGTGCCCACAAACTGATGTCCACTCCAGTAATAAAATGCTGAATAACGTTTTATTGAACACCTTTCACTAGGGAGAGAGGTCTTAGGGATTCTAGGTGTCCAGGGGTAACCAACAAGAGCTCCAGACTCACCAGACCTGGTTGGCATATCTGTGTATATCCACTTGGGAGGCGGCAGACAGCAACTGATGTAGCAGATAAGCAGGATGGATACAGATCCTCAAACAAGAAAGACACCGACCATAGTCCTCTTAGTTCCAGGGTACTTCAAGAGCCAGCATTGGTCCCGGTTCTCTTCCTCTATCAGCAGCCCAGGCCTCCTCCATGTTGGAGGCCTCAGGGAAACCTTTCCCTCACACCAGCCTATGCCCACCCCCATGCCTCAGGCCTAGCCTGGGGGGGGGAGTCCTATTCCCTGGCTGGTCCTGGCTAGTCTGAGCACATGGCAAATGCCAACCAGTATATGTATCCTATCCCAGCAGGCACCACTGGCTGAGAGAGAAACTCAGTGATTGGCTGCTGTACTGTGCATACATTTAAGTGCCTCTCATTGGCTGTCCCACAATATGACAGAGTCACACTCCGCCCAGAGGGGTACAGTCAATGCTAGACACCTGGAATTAATCAGATAATTGCCACTATTAGTCCAGCCAGGCTGACTACAGCCCTGGCTATCACTAAATATCTAGTAGCCACATCACAGAAGGTGATGGGGGCTACAATAGAAAAAAACTTTAACTTGGTTTAAAAGCATATCTGTTCTCAAATTTTCCTACACAGTTTTCACTAAATATGCTACACTGGAACAGCCATCTTGTTTTTTTGTCACAGTTAGTGGGCGGGCGCATTTTTATAATGATTTCCTGAGCTAAAAGTAGAGAGGAGGAATCCCTATCCTGTAATGTTACTTCCAGAGGGGAGAGGAGGGATGTAACAGCTGTGGACCATGTTAGATGGTGTAATTTTGCATACGCCAATAATCATCAATATCTTATATCTCCTCCCGAGTTAAGGGTTTCACAGAATATACTATATTAGCTGATTAGGGACAGAATGCTTATGTCATGATTTCTAAAGAGGTTAATGAAAAGATTTGATAGAAAGTCATATATTTTTTTTATGTTCGAGAGACTTTGCCAAATAAGCAAAAATCATATCCCAAATAAGACTGCACTACAGACACCTGAAGTCACTATGACGTTTTATGTTTTCATTCTTTTGTCTCCTAGTGAAAATATCCAAATTCCATTGTAGATGTTCTGCATGGACATGAAAGGACTGGAATGGGGGGGTCATTCCTTAGCATTGTTGAAATTCAATAATAATAATGTTTCTTTGTGATTTTAGGAAAGTATAAATAATAAAGTAACAATTTCAATTTAAAACAGATCTTTTACTAAACTACATCTAATGTCTATTTCTCAGGGCCCCACCCCTATGTCAAAAAACACTATCCCGAAAACCTAACAAAAAGAAAAATAATAGCTGTAAAAAGTAATAGATATTTATAATCTATTTTCCATTTACTTCCATGTAAATATAAAGACACACATTAATGTAGCCCTGTCACCCCCTTGCAATGTCTTGTATTGTAAATCTTAAAAGAGAACTATGGGGTAATCTTTTTATCCCATAGTTCTCTTTAGGGTCATAGCTATTGCCCGCTATATACTGAGAGTGCCGCAGGCGGGATAGATCCCAACAACACTCAAGGCCAAGATCCACCCAGCTGGCTGATTGACATTGGGCTCTGCCTATCTTAGGGCAGAGCCAGCTGTGCCCGCCCCCTGCCCCGTCCGTTCCTCCAGTCAGCACTCTCAGTTTATATCGGAGAGGGGAGGAATCCCTTCGGTGGAGATGACCACAAAGTGAGCGAGCGACGGTATGTGTTTGCTCACTTCCCGATCTATAGAGACACCGTGTTTCAATGTCACATGTCGGCTCTAACTATGAGGATGAGTGTAAATGACTCACCTCATAGTTCTCCTTTAAACCTTGAAGAGGGAGATTTTTTTTACAGCCAGCTAGTGACCAACAATACGTGTGATCAAAGTGTTTATTGTCTAAACAGTTGTTCATTGCTTAATAATTATTGCCTACTTTATGATGTTTTTTTTTTAGGTAGGCTGAAAAGAGTTTTCTTTTCCTTTTTTAAAAAAAAAAAAATTATGTGCTGAGTGTTGTACATGTCTGTTATTTAATACCTCTTTAAGAAGCTCCCATCATTTGAAAGTGCGCGTCACTTTACTACTAAAAATTATTTTGATGTAGAGGTGTGTGTTAAAAAAATGATCCGGCACAAGTGCCAGCTATGCTAGGTACGCCACTGGCAGCTGTAACTGGGGCACCAGCAACAAAAAAATGACTGGAGTTAAGAGGTAAAAAGGGCGCTCCTGCCGGCTGTAGATAATAAATAGGAATTATTCATATCTAATATGTAATATATACATTACTAAAAAATTAAAAACATATTTTGACAAATTGTATTTTGGTATATCCTTAACATAATAAATGAAAAAATATTTCAACACTATACATTGCCTTGAAACTGGCCTTTAACATTAACTTCTGTCCAAAACATTATTTCAGTGCCTGTCATGTAACTTGGTTGAGACCAAGCTAATGAGGGGGCTTCTCATACACCTCTTGTCCAGTACATCTGGAAGTGATGACAGGGAGCGTAGGGATGCAGAGTGGCATGAGTGCCAGTGTTGCAGGCTGGATCTTCCCAGAGGTTATGTATGGACTGAATGACTGCAAGCTGGTTACAGCTGAGCAGTGGAGAGCCAAGACAGAAATCAGAAGCAAAATCGGGGTCAAAAGCCGAGGTCAGTAACAGCCAAGCAGGGATTTACCATATCAGAAACCTAGAGCAGAGTCGGGGTCACAATCCAGGGTCAGTAACAGCCAGTCAGGGAAGTATAGGGCAGAAGGCAGAATGCGGAGTCCAGTAAGTAGGCCAAGGTCACAATGTGAAGGCAGAGATCCAGAGAGAGGTCAGATGGGAAGCCAGGTCATACACAGGTAATTAGGAAGGCAGGTCAGGTCACAGGTAATCAGGGAACTAGCTGAAGACCTCTCAGCAATTTGTGCATATTACATGACTCTTTATATACAGTAGGCCTGCATGCTAATGCACGCCCTTAGACTAATTCATGCCCACCTCCACGCTAATTCCCTCATGCCTTCATGCTAAATTGCGTGGGTCTGCACACTAATGTGCATTTGCCTGCAATTTTATGCATGGTACAATGGACAATAACATATGCACATGCATGAACCTGCACTGGTCTTCTGGAATGCGTTGGACTTTTCTTACAGTGCCATTGAGTTGAATTATCCAACATCTATTTGTGTATTTCAGTAAAATTTGCCAACTTATTGCTTTCTTTACAAGTTTTTATCCTTCCTGTCAGATTTGTATTTGGTTATATAATACAAAAAAAGCAGCAGACAGAATGAGAATGTATGCAATTAGAGGGCAGAAACACTGGAAGAGAGATTATACCGATCAAGTCATAGAGGGCTGGGTGATTCTCCCCGCAAGCAACTGCACATAATTAAAATATCAGTTATGAGTGTACAGTTAGTTATAGTCTGTACCTTTATATCATCTGTCACTTGGAGATATGAAAATACTGGAGGGCAGGGCTGCACTTGTTTTTCATGGTGCCCTAGGCATGTGTCGTTCTATGACAACACCCTATTGTACAACAATAAATCATTAGCCCCGCCTCTTTTTTATACCTTCTGATTACTTCAGCTGCAAACAATTATCTATTGAATAATTTGTATTTGTTAACATGTTTAACAAATAGATAATAGCAATATGCTTCCACAGATAACATGTTCTACATGACAATTATCAAATCCAATTTTCACTACCTCTTCTCTAAAATCTGTACTGTGCGTTGTGTATTTTTTTAGTAGATATATGCATTATTTATTCACTAATGAGGCCCCTTATGCTTTTTAGATGTTTAAATTATACCATGGTTTCCATTGGCTCTTAACATACTTAAAGAGGACCATTAGTGCCCAGGTTATTCTTAGTCTGTATTAAAGTTGTGATTTCTAGAAGAGGACTGATAGCATATGTAAGAAGGAATGCTTAGCACAGGTAGGAACACTTTCAGGAATGCATGAGAAGCAACAAAAGCAGAATGTTCCTATTAAAATTAAAACAGGCTAGGGGAAGCCACGGCAAAAGCGCACCTGTATTTGTCCTTTTGCATCAACTTCTGTGCTGTCAGTCAGAATGGCCCTTTCCTTCGTCCAGTACTGTCAGAAAGCGGTGGAGGGAGAAGGGGCAAGCTCTCTGGCAATGCTGCTCAGCAACAATTGCACAGATTTTAATGGGGACTGGTGCTATATGCACTGGGTTCCCTGGGGGATCTACCAAGCCTTTTTAACTTCTAGCGAGACATCTTCTTTCACATATACCTGGTAATTTACAACACTGATTTGGTTGCTATACTAGGTATCATGGAGACAACTGGGGTTCAGAAATAAAAACAAACAATAGCACACTATCAGTTCGAATCCTAATGAAATGTAGCATAGACTCATCATGGGAATGAGTTCCAATGATATATAACAAAGATTCCAGTTGCCATTCACAACACAAAGGACAAAATGTGTTGTGCTCTCTGTGAATGACTTTTTATGAAGTGCTGACCAGCCACATACCCAGTTAATACCCTTCCAGATAAAGACATTCTGAGTGTTTGCCAATCAGTCTGTTTGGCCTGCATTTTGGACACTGCTCTGTTTCATTGTTCCGCAGCAGTAATAAAAGGATACGAAGCTGTGTGATAAAAACATTCAGCAGTATGCAAGCTGTGCAGAGATACATAAAAACATATTATTCTGCCTATATTCAGTGTAAGCTGTATTTATGCATATGCATGTATTTAATCTGTACATGCTCATTATTTCATACAAGTATTAGCATGTACAGATTAAATACATGCATAATCTACATACAAATATTCCCCTACTTGACTGGGCGCTAACATTATAGACTAACTTCCTATATGCTAGTGCAAATTTCTGTCACCTAAATATAGTAGCATATGAGATTACATTATCATATTAATAACAATTCAATTCAGGAAGTCTTCTTGAACAGTTATCCCTGTTTCCAAAGCTCCATATCTGGAGATTACTCCCACAAAAACATATCTCCCACTATATTCAGAACAAACATTTGATGTTTCAGCATTCTTGTTCTCATCTCATAAGCCTATTCTAGATGCATACCAACATTGGTTTATTGCTGCTTCATGGGGGGTGTGGTGCCACCCTACTTGGTGGTTCAATACAAACGTATTTTAATATGTTCCAATATGTTGTCATAAAAAGAGGAAGGTGCACATGGTCAGGGAAATATACAAAAAAATACAAGTAGGTGTTTATTGCCTCATCCGTGTGCATCTTTTACTGCTGTTTTAAACTAATCAGAGCAGCTGCGATTTTTTATTTTTTGGGATTTGGGGCAGACACACAATGGAAGTCCTCACCTGCCTTGCAAAAGCAATATCTGACCTTCTGTTGTGTTGCTGTACCTTTAAGGAGTAGGGGGCTGCCTCCAGGTTATCCTGCTGTGCATTGCTGTATATGTCCCACAGTTGGGAATTCAGTTCAGTAAACAGTTTAATTTTTTTTTGCTGGCTAGCTTGAAAGTGTGCTTTGGACCTTTTCTATAGTGTTTATATGTACTTTCCTCCTTTTGCTAGTTTTAAACTGATCAGAGCAGCTGCCATTATTGTTATTTGTTTTTGTTCTTTTCTTTCACTAATGAACAGTCTGTTGTCCTTAACTACTTCCGAGCCACAATACGTATATATACGGTGGCCCACAGAAGTGGTTAAAACAAGAACACGGTGCTGTCCCCTCCCCCGCTGGGTCCTCCGGCGGCTTCCAAGGGCTCAGCAGTACTATTGTCATTGTTGCAAGGGGAAGAATTTGAATTTTTGGGAAGATAAATTAGTTGGATGAAGATAAAAATGGAAATGTCTTTTTAAAACCATTACATTACAAAATTACTTGTGCAGCATTGCTTTAACCACATGAAGACCAGGGTGTTAAACCCCCTTCCTTGCCAGGCCATTTTTCAGTATTCAATGCTGCAGTACTTTGACTGATATTTATACCGTCATGCAACGCTGTACTGAAACAAATTTTATACCCTTTTTTGGGGACAAATAGAGCTTTCTTTTGGTGGTATTTAATCACTACTTTTTTTTACTATATAACTAAAATAGTACCCTAAATTTTGAAACAAAACCTGTTTCGCTATAAAATGTTATGAAACATATATTATCACCCCATTTTTTTGGTAAAATATAAAAGACGGGGTCACGTCGGGTAAATACGAAATTGTAAAGGATGTCACCAGCACACCAAGCTGTTAAGTTCAGCAAATGTCCATTTTAATGACAAACAATGTCATCCAATAGCAAGTACTTTCAGGGCCTCGCAGGGTCCCCGTCATCAGGCTCAGAATGACACTATGTGCAGCCAAAACCCACATATATAGACATATAACCAGTGAGGATCCAGATCAAATCCCACCCATGTAGGATAACCAGTAACAGTTTTCCCGCCACAGAAGATTCAAAAATGAGGAAAAAAAACAGCAAACCTACATAACACTGGCATGTGGAAGACTGGCGTGCTCCGCTCCGCTGTCATGGCCATTAGTATTCTGATCAGTTGCTATGGATACCCGACGCTGAGCAGGACGTAGAACACGCCCCCGTCCACCAGCGCAAGCGGCGTGTGGAACGCACGGACGTCCATGCCTGTAACTTAGACTGTCTGGGTAGAGCCGCGTCCCCGCTCACTCACGCATGCGCATAGTGAACAAGAGGACCGAGACAAACATCAGATGCAGGCTCCAGCGGCTACACGTTGGTGCAGCACCATTGGTCGACCAAATCATGTGACTTCCATAACATACAGTAATTAAGTCTAATGCTGAAGGGTTACAGAAAGACACAAATAATAAAAAATACAGTAATCACAAGGTGGTAAAATCCAAAACAGGTCAATGATAGATTGGAGTTCAGCCCCCTGGGTTGTACGCAGTCAAGTGAGTAAATCCAGAAGGCCTCCTTTTGGAGGAGCTGCTTGGCTCTATCTCCTCCCCTAGGATGCTGGTGTACCTGTTCAATTATCATACCCCTAAGCTCATGCGTCTGATGTTTCATCCTTGCGAAGTGTATAGCAACTGGTTTATTAAGATCCAGCTCTTCACCTTTTTGATGCTTAGCAATTGTTGTCCGAGTATGCTTCTGAAAGCGACGCTTAAAAGATCCAATCGTTTTATCAACCTAGATCAAAGAACATGGGCATGTTACACACACGGGCACACAGTACACACAATAATCAGTGTCACAAGTGTAATAACCATGAATCTTGTACTTTTTGCCTGTGTGAAAAAAACTCACCACAGATAATTGCATTGCATATATTACAGTGAAAACACCTGAATCATCCCAATCTATTGGATAGGGAAATATGTTTTTTTTAGCATACTTCGACCTGGGGTCAGCCTGTACTAAGAGGTCCCTTAGTGAACGACTCTGTTGGTGGTCTATTTTTTTTATAATTTGTGTCATTGTTTTGTTAGCTTGAAATATTTTCAAATTGGTATTGGTGGCATTCTGGATAGTTCCACTTGCTGGACTGAATGTGTGAAAAACGCAAGTCTGTCATCTGCAGTGCGTGTGTGTTGGATACCTGAGCATTTTTCTGTCGCCTTCGCCAAAACTGAGTCAGTTATACTGTCAGGATAAGCGCTCTCAATGAAACGTCTGTGCATTTGTCTTAACTGTTGTGTACGGGTATCTGAATCAGAGCGGATCCGCATAACGCGAATGGGCAGATTGTCCCTAAGATGAAGAGGATGCGCACTCTCATAGTGCAGTAGTGTGTTTCTATCAGTAGGTTTTGAATAGACTGATGTGCTGACTCGATTATTGTTAATTACAATGCTAACGTCAAGCAATGAAATCTCGTTACTGGAGATAGTAGGATTAAAAATAATCCCAGAGAATAAACCATTCAAAAAGCTTACAAATTCATCAAAGGCAAGACTACCATCCCATTTCACAAAAATATAATCAACAAATCTGACCCAATCGATAACATGATTAAGGAAAAAAGGTGATGTGTGCACAAAACATTCCTCTAAATACCGAATAAATAGGTTAGCAAATGAGGGCGCCACTGGGCTCCCCATTGCAGTCCCATGCACTTGTTTGTATGCCTTATTTTCAAAGGTGAACACATTATTCATTAATACAAACTCTAAACAGTCCACAATAAAGGCAGTTGGAACATCATGTTGCCCGTCCTTTACCAGAAAATATTCTACTGTTTTAAGACCTGCGTCATTGGGAATGCACGTATAGGACGAAATGTCCATTGTGACAAGTTTCCAATTGTCATCAATCGTCTTGTGTGTTTGCAGTCTCTGTAGGAAATCTCCTGTATCCTTGATAAAGGCAGGAAGTTTGCTTATCAATGGTTGTAAGAAATGATCAATGTATTGGGCCAATGGTTGCGTAATGGACCCCGTAACCGATACTATCGGCCGAAATGTCAATGGGTAGGTACCCTTGTGAATTTTAAGCAGTCCGCAAAGCACTGGTGTATGTGCGTAGTCATTCATAAGAAACTCAGCAGCTGAGTCATTAATCCACCCATTCAACAGGCCAACCTGGTTTATGGATCTTAGTCCACTTTTATTTAGACGCATTTTATCATGCGTCGTAGGCTCGTAACTTGTTGAGTCTGACAACAGTGTTCTCATGCCTAGACTATAATTCACATAGTCCATGATGACAATACCAACCTGCTGACAAAGGCGGTGGTATTGTCATCGTGGACTATGTGTATTATAGTCTAGGCATGATAACTTGAATGAGGATTTTGGGGGGAACCGCACGCACTTTTTTTTGTTTTAACTTGGGGGGGGTGGTGGAGCAGACTGTAAAAAAAAATATATTTTTTTTTCTCTAATGTCATTTTGCTGCAACGAAATTTTGTCCAACAAACAAAATTTCGTACAGACTACCGCTAACGCATTTCTTCCGAATCCAAATCCCGAAACGAGTTGACTTTTGGACCCCAATCCCAAAAAACTAAAAAGATTTGAAAATGTAAAAGAGGAGCTGATTGGTTGCTATGCGCAGCTGCTCCAGATTTTGTCTGCTCCAGTTTTGATAAATTCCCCTCATATTCTTTATGTTGTATGCCACTTATTTGTGTTAGTGCTTGGAATTCTTGAGCATTCTGGTGTTAAATCGCATTATCAGAATTCAGTTTGATGACTGATGCATGTCAGGATGGCCCACATTTCCCACTAAAGTGAATGGAAGTTGTCATGCACACTGCAAAACACAAGAACAGACATTAGAACAC